AAAAAAGGTAAGTAGTATTAATAATCCTTCAGTTACTTTTTAAAAGCTGTACTTTTGGCATATATTAAGTTGAACGTTTTTTTTCTTCTTCCATGTTCTTCATATTTAAAAAAGAATACAAACAAATTTGTCTCCTCTATTATTCAATTGATAAAGAAGCTTTATTATACAATTCGAATTCTGCAAACATAATTGAATACGGAAATTTTTTGAAAGCGGAAATTTTTGAATCCCACAACAACAATTTATTCCTTTCGGTTTTATTCATACTTTGGAGATCAGGTATTTTTTTAAATTTTTTAATATGAATGCGTTAAATGTTTGTATGATTTGAATTTTTTTTTTGGAAGCTCATCGTATGTTCCATTTATATCAATAGAAAATCTCTGAACAAGATAAGTAACAATAATATAATTATATCTACTTATATGATATGTACGGCTGGATATGTGTTTGATTCTGTTTAGAACCATATTAGTTATTTTTTTTATTTCTTGTTTTTAACAATATGAAATTCTATATGTATTAATTTTGAAACGGTTGTTACTGTGTGAAAAAAGTTGTGAATTTGAGTTCAATCTTTATCGATTTTGGTACCCTTTGAAACGTACACTTTTTTGAATGTAGATTGGACACATTTTTATTTTTATTTTGATTTTGGAATACTATTGAAATGTGATCATCACTTACATATTTGTTATTGTAGCCATGGGAAGCATTAGTTTATTGGTCATGCATTCTGGGAGGTGGAACAATGAAAATTGCTATGTTGATTACAGTACGGAAGCAATTGTGCTAAAAGAGCATGCGACATTTAGAGAACTAATGGATCTTGTTTCAAAGCAAATTTGTGTTGACTTGAGCTTCAACATTGTGAAACTTAAATATAAGATAGAGGGTAGTACTGCATGTTGACACCCAATTTTGACCCTCCACGAATTGATTAAATTTTATAAGCTTCTTAGATCTTAAACAAATGAAAATAATTGATTTTATCTATAAAATAAAAATTAAAAAAAATCTACCTTTCCCACATCATTTCTCAAACAATTCTCAATTTTCAATAGTCCCACATCGACATTTTATCCCTTTTGAGGATTTTTGGGTCTCTATATAAACCCACTTCATTCAATATTTTAGGGGGGGGAGGGAAGACAAAGAATACTCATAAAATTTAGAGAATTCTTGATTCTCATAGTTAAAATTTTTCAAAGTGTTTCGTGGTTTTTCGAGTTTAGGAGGTGGAGTCGTCTCGTTCAAACTCGTAGTTTCGATTCGCTGCCCAAAACCAGGTAAATTTTTTCTTAGTCTTGTTTTATTTAATTCCTAGATCTTTTATGCTTTTTTGTTTATTATATATGCTTAGCTTTGTTTTAGTAGTCATGTGTTAGACTTTGGTTTGATCTTTTAGTAGTTAATAATGTTTATTTTGTAACTACTGTTTTACTTATTTTTCGAGATTTTTTCCAATAATCTTCCAATTTCATGTCTTTGTTTCTTCATGTTTCACTTATGTGTTTCTGGACTAAAATGTAGGCTTTCTAGTTAGTAATAAATTAGGATTTATTGAGCTAGTTTTTCTTTATATACATATATCTGATTATAGCCTTGAACATAGGAATTGTCCCTTTTTTGTATAAATCGTGTTAGTATTGCTGCTAATGCTTTATCATTTCGTATTAATGAGGATGGTCATTTGTTAATGTTCATGTACCTTTAAAATTACTAGTAGCTCTTTTATTGAGAATACATATTTATATTGTTACTTATCAATTCTCTGCTATAATACACTTCCGTAGTGAATATCTTAAGATATTTAACTTAATGCATAGCAATTTGTCTATTATCTTAGGAGTGGATTTAAGCTCTGTGATTGAATTTTAGATTATTATGTGTCTATTTGATACGTGTGGTTAAAGTTGTGGGGTTTGGTATATCCATGTTTATCTTCCTTTGAAAAATTCCATGCCCATTTGAAGTGGTTCAACTATGAGATTTGACATACTATTGTCACTAAGCTAGATGATTTGAATATTTCTGAAAATTCTTCAATCAGTTGCTAATTTTTATTTCATTCTGTGCATGTACCTCTGTCTAAACTGAGTCCATCCGGACTCCCTTCTCTTTCATTATTCCTCTTCTTGAGTCAATCTTCTTCGGAGTTGTGAAAGGGAGTCATGTTATTGGGTTAAACACCCAAAAATCAGCAGCAACAACATTTCCAAAGAGTTAAAACGGAGAGCAAAATTGGGTCCATTTTTGCAGCAATTTCAACAGTCCCCTAAGGGCTGAAAATTGCACTTTTTTGGCTTAAAAGTTCGGAAATTGCACTAGTAACAGCAATTTGAAGCAGCCAAATAAAGGCTAAAATTTTGGGCGAAAATCCTAGTTTTCCCTCATCTTGTTTATTATCGTGTTGTTTAGTTTAGTTTCTCTTTATCTCTTATTATTGTGTGTTGTGTTTGTTAATTGTTTATTTATTGTTATTAACTTAGATGAATCCTTTGGAGGTTTTCAAATGGTTATTCTATTTCGTTAATTGTCTACTTTAAATTTTCGAAACTTATTTTTTTTGTTAAATAGCTTAAGCTTATTAGAATATCTTGAGAACTTTTTTTTTATGCTCTTTCATAGTTGCTAAAAAGCTTTGAATCCATGTTTACGAGTTTGAACTAACTATTTAGTTCAAATTTTTGAATAGGATAAAATTGTTAAGTTTCTTAAACTAAATTAGTATTTAATTTAACTTATAACTTGGTATGAATGACTTGAGGATCTTTAATATCCTTTCATAGTTGTTGCACAAAGTCTTGTAATCCATGTTTATGTGTTGAATTATTTGTATGATTCAAAATATGACTATGGATAAAAGTTTTAAGTCTTAGGATTATTTTGAGATCTTGCATAATATCAAGAGATTATTATCTAAGTTTTCAACAAGAATTTTTTTGAGTAGTTTGAAATAAATAAATAAGATTTGTTTAAGTATTCACATGTTTTTTTTCTTAAAATTAGCCAACTTTGAAATTCGTCGGTCAACCGCGTGTTAGCGGATTTTCTAAGGTGCCTAAACCCTTCCTTAGAGAATTATTTGAACCCTTACCCAATTTCTATTAACCTTTTTTTATTATTATTATTTATTTATTTGGTTTTCTTAATTTTTCCTAAAATATTAAGTGGCGACTTCCTAAAATTAAACATTTTCCAAAATTGACCAAAGTTGCGAAATCGGCTTCGAAACCCTTTAGTTTTCAAAATCGGGTCGTAACAGAAATGGCGACTCCGCTGGGGAATTCATCTAGGTTCTAACCAAAAGGATTTTATTGTTTGGCTAATTATTATTGAATTAATTGTTATTTGATGCGATTATGTCTTTAAATTTTGATTATTAACTGTTATTTTGCATTCATGGCATCTTCTGATATTATATGTTAGTATATTAGAAAATGGTTTGCGGAACCGCAGACAGACTTTTTATACTCAACCTTTTTCAGAATGATCGATAATTTATTGGTTCGTCATGCGTCCAATGGTTATCGTGAATTTCAACCTAAGTTGTCCGCTTAGGTCCCGGTCCTTCAAAAGCCACTCTTAGTTAACTAAGTTAGAGCTCAACCAAGACCCTTTTAGGTGCATTAACCTAAGACGATTCAATACCCAAGGAGTATTGAGTCCATTAGAAGACCACCTTGAGTCTAATTGACCCGCGGTCAACTAACGCGATCATCCGATTATTTGTTAAATTTGAAGAATATGTATGTTGATTTGTAAGTACCATTGTCCTTTTGGGTCGGATTTTTTTTATTTTGTTTTATTAGGTAGTTTCTTTGTTTAATTCAAATGAAGATACTCCTCATCAAGAAGTAATTCAAAAGCATCAAGAAGTTCGGGAATGAAGGTTCATATGGAAGCTTAACTTAGTTATCATTGTACCCCTACGTGGGACTCATATTTATTTCTCTTTCCTCTATTGTGCATCCCTATTTATTTTATTTATAAGTTTTGTATAAATATTTTTGGGCAATAGAACGATTTACAAATGATATGCATATCCTTCAAACGTTAGGCATACCTTTGGCTTAAAAGATCACATGTATGTTAGGAGGCGTTGTATATTGTTTGTGTTAATTATTACAAATTTTGTTTCATTTGTGTTTGTTTGACCTATGTGTTTATATACATATGTTTTTGCTTTAAACATAATTGGTCCATCATTCTATTCCAATGTTTTAGAACATCAATCCAATTTTCAAACCTTCCAAAATACTACAACTCCATTACCAAAATACGTTCAAAATTACTCTAGAACTTTCAAAAATTATTAAGTCATCATTCAAATTCACGTTGACCTCGTTATTTCTTGAAAATTATTTTCCACACCTACTAGCCGGCGTAACTAAACATTCCTCCAATTTCAAGCAATTACCAATACGCTTTTATTTTTCCGAAAGAGATTTCCAATTGAACCAAACCCTTTTCTTTCGTTAAAATTTTAGTTCACAATAAACATTTTTTCCATTTGATCATTTTCTAGAAACTCATCTTCATCAAATTTTGGACTAGTTTGTTTAAAACAAAACACATGTTATTTGCTTTATGTGTTACTTTGGTTGGTTATTATAATTAATGGACTGACTTTCTTATTTTGAGTTGTTTCAGAAGGAGAGACTGATTTGTGTTGGTAATCAAACTTGCTCACTTCACCAAAGTATCCGCTGGCAGAACATTCATATTTTACACGGTCTAAGGTCAAGGGAATCTCTATAGACTCTTCACTTCTTAGTTGGATTACTAAAAGGACTCGTTCAAAAATGGATCCCACTATTCACACTGTTGCTTCGTCCGAAATGATCCCTACTCCATCGATCGCGGCCAATCCTAGTGCCTCGGTAGCAGCAGAATCACCTATAGAGTGACAAATTGGCGCGCTGAATCTCTTCGTAGCTCAATACCAAGCTGCTTCTCCGAATCAACCATCTGATGCTCGTGAAAGGGGGCCCATGCCACCCGTATATCCTACTTCGAGTGAGTTTCATCAAGGAGATCACTTTGCCACCTTTCAACAAACTCAAAGTGCATCACCCACTAATTCAACTCAGGATACTCCTCTTGTATACACATTTGCTCCCCATAAAGCTCCAACGGTGACACATCACACTCCGCCAGTGTACACTTATGTCACTGCTCCACCCATTACCAAGGCTCCAGAGTTTCATCGCCCAGATGTTAATCACTATATTGAAATTGAGGGGGACGGAAAATCAATTGATGCTGAAATGATGAATAAGAAGATGAAAAGTTTGGAGGATGCTTTGAGAGGTCTTCATGGGTTCGATAGTAGCCAGAGTGTTAGATACGAAAAACTGTGCACATTTCCTGAGGTTGAGTTGCCACCCGGTAACAAGATTCCAAAGTTTGAGAAGTTTAGTGGATCAGGAAATCCATTCTTTCACTTGAAAATTTACTGTGAAAAGTTGATTGACGTTGGAAACAACGAAGGGATAAGAATCAATTTATTCAATCAAAGCCTAACTGGAAAAGCATTGGAGTGGTACTCTAACCAAGATGTAACCAAATGGCGTACTTGGGATGATCTGGCGAATGCTTTTGTGGATCACTACAAGTTTAATGTTGAAATTGCTCCCGATAGAATTTCTATTACCAAGCTGAAACCCAAGTCAACTGAATGCTTTCGAGAATATGACATTCGTTGGAGAGAAGAAGCTTCCAGAGTGCACCCACCTATGGAGGAATCGGAAATGATTACTTACTTCATTCAAGCTCAAGAATCGGAATACTATGAGCGAATGGTGACTATGGGTGGAAAAACATTTGCTGAAGTTATTAAGGCTGGAGAAATGATCGAAGATGGTCTCAAAACTGGCAGAATAAGGAGTTACGCCTCATCTCAATTTGCTAATAGAACCTATCAAACTGGTCCTTTTGGAAAGAAAAAGGATAAAGAAGTTATGATGATAACGACCCGAGGAGCTGCATCATATAACCGTCAACCACCTCTAGGCTATCCTAATTAACAATACTATGTTTGCAACAATCAAGCAACATTTCGTTCTCCACGGCCAATGCAAAATCCCCGAAACAATGCACCTCATCCTAATATTGAGAAAAAACCTGCTAGAGTCTTCACTCAATTGAGCGAGACAAGGAGTCAACTTTTTGATAGACTGAAAGAGGTGGGAATACTTCATTCAGTGGAAGCCAAGACTGTGAATACTTCAGCCGAGTGGTATGACCCAAGTAAGCGTTGTGCTTATCATTCAGGGGTTGTTGGTCATGATACCGAAAAGTGTATCACTCTCAAACACAAAATTCAAGATCTAATTGACAATGAGGTGGTAAAACTCGCTCAAGCTCCATCGAATGTGAATACCAATCCGTTACCCAAGCATAAGGAGTAGTGGTTGACATGACCAGTTGCAAAGAAGAAGCAAGTTTCCTGAAGGTCGCACTTTTGGCAGCTTTTAGTCTTGCAATTAGAGTTTGTTATTTTATTTCTCTGTAATCGCACTTTTATCGCTTTATTACTTTATAATCGTTTGTTTGGTTTAGATTTCCCTTTTAAGTATCTTTCACTTATAATGAACTACGTCTGACCTCTATTCTCAAGAATGAGATACGTAGGCGGCCTATGTCGGCTTCGGTCACCCCTTTATCCCTTTAAGTGTTTTCTTATTATTCGAACTACGTTTGACCTGAATTCTCAAGAATGAGATACGTAGGCAGCCTATGTTGGCCTCGGTCATTTTCATGGTTAAATTTCTTCTAGTCCTGTTAATCCTCAAGAGTTCGAACTACGTTTGATCTGATTCCTGCTCAACGGGATACGTAGGCGCCGCACCGGCTCGGTCATGTTCCCCGTAAGTTTTTCATTTCTCTTTATAATGAAAACTGGGGCAGATTCTGAGAGGATCTCAAAATTCATCAGGAAGAGAAGTTTATTTAGTCCAGAATCAAGGATCACTTCAGAGTTGCAACTGGGGAAAATTTTTTGAGATTCACTCAAAAATTCAGCTGAAAACTACAGAAAGTTTGAAATTTATGTTATGTTTTAAACCGGGGCAGAATTTTTGAGGAGGTCCTCAAAAATTCCATCAAGCGGCATTTCAAGACCAAACAAGTTTGTAATCCAGAAGGCAAAAGAGCATCAGGATGGCAAGACAAAGCCAACACGAATCAGTCTCTCAAAACTAAGAATTTTTCTTTGGATGCAGGAATTATAAAGTTACAACACAACATTAGACCCACAGTGGCCTCATCATGACTCAGATGATTTACTCTTGCTCATCTTTTAAAATTTTCATTTCAATTCACTGTGACTTATACATTTTATATTTTTACCAGATGGAAAGCTTGGCGCAAGGGTGATGATCATAAAGCGTTATTCAAACCAATATAAGCTGAAAAAACTTCATTTGAGAACTTATCTTTTACTTTGATAATTTTTGCTACTAATTACATCTGAGCTTTACAGGTGTCGTCAAAGTTGGAATCAAAATTTCAAGAGATCCTTTCAATTTTTAAAAGATCTGCCCAGACATTCACCAGACAAAGGACACACACTAGTCCTTATCCAAGAATTTTATTATGAAGGATTCCTGACACCAAGGAACCAATCCAAACTGATTTTATCCTCTATTTTATCTGAAGAGTTTTCTTTCTTCATTTTTCAAATCTCTCGTCGGCAATTTTATTTTCATTCTTTGAAATTCGTCGGTCAACCGCGTGTTAGCGGATTTTCTAAGGTGCCTAAACCCTTCCTTAGAGAATTATTTGAACTCTTACCCAATTTCTATTAACCTTTTTTTTAATTATTATTTATTTATTTGGTTTTCTTAATTTTCCCTAAAAGATTAAGTGGCGACTTCCTAAAATTAAACATTTTCCAAAATTGGCCAAAGTTGCGAAATCGGCTTCGAAACCCTTTAGTTTTCGAAATCGGGTCGTAACACTGCACCTCTGGAAATACACAACAACGTGGGCGTGAGAGTGTATGTGTCGTTGAAAAAAGATAACAAAGAATTGCCAAAGTATCCTATATGTGTATCCGTATTTGTGAATGACTGTCAATTAGCTAATAGAAATATGTTTGAAGATGGATTCGAAATGTGTAGGCCTGATGGAATAGATATAGTTGATACAGAATCATTAGTGTTTAGTGTGCCGAACAATAGCGATAACATGAATTGCGACTTTATTACAAACGCCAAACATAAGGTAGTGTTGGAAGATCAAGTTTACAAGGACAAGGGAACTTTAAAGGCTGTGATGACGCAATACGCTATTGATCATAGATTCCAATGGAAAATGGACAGATCGAGTCAAACATGGTATGTGTAATTGGGTTGGATTCTCTTATAAATATTTTTTCATTATGTTTTTTTACATTATATCAAATATTTATTTGTATTTTACCTGATTCTAATATGGTGTTATTCAAACAGTTATACACTTGTTTGTGTCTCTGATAATTGTGGGTGGGCGTTGAAGTCGTCAAGTATCAATAAATCTGGAATGTTCAGAATTAGAAAATTCATAGATGATCACACGTGTCCATTGAAAGATAAGGTTTATGAACAACGTCAAGCAACAAACAATCTTATTGGAGGTATGATACAACCCAAGTTAGTTGATCATAAAAGAAAGTTGATGCCAAAGGATATACAATAAGATGTCAGCTTAGCTCTTGGAGTAAATGTATCATACTTAGTGGCGTGGAAGGCTAAAGAAAAGACTGTAATTTCTTTAAGGGGTACCCCATCTGGTTCTTATGGTAAACTTTCGAGCTACTTATACATATTGGACGCTACCTACTCTGGATCTCATATAAGGATGAAGAAAACCGATGAAAATCAATTTCTTTATCTGTTTATTTCTCTCTTCCCGTTCATAAAAGGTTTTGAGTGTTGTAAACCAATTGTCGTAGTTGATGGCAACCACCTCAGGGGTACTTACAATGGAGTATTTGTTTCTGCAAGTACTGTTGATGGAGCAGGTATTAGAATGATAATATATACACTTTGTTTTGTTGATTAATATATTTAGTCTATATGAAATAAAAACTTTATTAAATGTTTTGTGTGTAGGAAATATATTGCCGCTAGCATATGGAATTATTGATTCAGAAATTATGCATCCTGGACTTGATTTTTTGAATAGTTTAGAGAAGCGCATGGCGTTAAATATAACATGTGTGTTGTGTCTGATCGAAACGAAAGTATTATAAAGGCAGTTTCGAGGGTATTTGATGGAGTTCCTCATTATGCTTGTATTTGGCATTTGTGGAAAAATGTGAAAACACTATTTAAAAAGTCGCACAATAGTCTGTCAGAAGTTTTTTATGGGATGACAAAGGCATACAAACAATCTGAATTTGATGAACTGATGGAAAAGGTTGAACAAGTTGATGTTCGTGTAAAAAATTACTTGGAATCAGCAGGTTATGAAAAATGGGCTAGGGTATATGCAAGAGTTGATCAAGGAATGGTTATGACATCAAACATAACTGAGTGCATAAATTCTTGTCTATTTGAAGCAAGGGAATTACCGGTATACGATTTTCTTGAGGAAGTAAGACAGATGTTTGCAAGATGGAATTTGAAAAATCATACGTCTGCTTCACATACATTCACCACACTTTGTGGTAGACCACCAGAGATGCTTGTTGCTAATGAAGAAGCATCATTACGTATGAAGGTATGTTGTTACGATTTATACGTTCATCAAAATTATATGACATAAGTGTTTATTTATTTTTGTAGGTTGTGCCATCAAATAACTATGTGTCTAGTGTTCATCATGAAGGTAGAACCTACATTGTTTGTTTGGAAAATAAAACTTGTACTTGCAAGAGGTTTCAAATAGATGAAATACCATGTTCGCACGCTTGGGCTGTTTTAAAGAAGAAACATTTTGATGTTGGGCCATATTGTTCCGACATGTACAAGTCAAGTAACTTGTTGAATACATATAGCATTCCGATTTTTTGGTAGCTCTTTCACCGAAAAATCATTGTCTGGATGAAGTATAAATTGCAAACTTCAGGTCATCCTGATCGTTCTCCCCCCACACTTTTTGGTGAAAACTCCTCATTATATCAATTTTTCTGATCAAGTTAACACCCTCAAAATATTTTTCAATGAAACTATTTGGTTCTGACTGATCAAAGATGAAATTAGTTTTTTCGTTGACACAATTTAATCCACTGATCAAAGCAAATTCTCTCAAAGTGAAACACAACGTAGATCCATTTACACGCATTACAAATGCTTGGCGAGAACTACAATTGAGTTCTAAAGCCATGCAGCACCTATGTATTTGTCCGCGAGCACGACATTGATGCACTTGCACATAATTACCAAAGCAGGTGCTTTCACAGAATACATTGTATACATGTCCATGTAAATACTTCATCAAGTCAGCTTTTATGTCATGATTAAAGAAACAATGAATATGGGGAGCTTTTTTTGGTTTATTTTTGACATAAAATTCATTTGCCTGCACATGTTCAACAATAAAATGAATACATACTTAAAAAATTACTGATATATAAATCTATTACTAGTTAAAACAAAATAGAATATGATAAACTACATTGTATACAAGATAGTGAATGTTAATTCAGAATCATGAATATTGATGACATAAAAAATAAAATAAAATAAAGAACGGAATACAACTAAATTGATACTATAAGTCTATCAACATTTGAATACATAAAGATGCTGAAGAGAACATAACTATATTATTCAACAATCTAATATATGTATACAACAAATAATATAGTATTGAATTAATTAATTAATCAATTTCTGCTATAACAATAATATAGTATTAAGCTGATTAATTATTGTAATGTTATCACTATCTCTCAACTCATCTTTATATAATAACACATTTGGTCCTTCAATTATTATATTACTAACGAATTTACTTATTAGTAATATTCAATAACATATAATCTTCCATTAATTAAAAATTACTATATTTTTTGACTTTATATATTTTATATATAAGA